GTGTAAAAGTGTCAGGGTGACGAGAGTAATTGGTTCTGTCATGATTTATTCATGTTGCCTCTGAGCGGCTCCTTTAAAGACTTTCTGAAATATAAGCTGTGATTAACACGAGAGGCTGCAGCCGCCGCTGCGTTTCACTGTTTCTGCTGCAGAAAACAGGAAAAATAAAAGTCAGCTCATCATCATGAAAGGCAGATCATCATGTTAGCGTTAAATCTCAAACTAATGTACAAATTTTAATTAAATTCACTGCAAAGAAAATACACAAATGGCTACAAATCAGCCAATCAGTCTCATTGGTGTTTAGCTCAAGCTTGGTGGTYATTCTAAGCACTAACTAATTGTTCAACATTTATTTTTTTAACTTGCCATTTAGGCAACACTGTTAGCAAAATATCTCAAACCAGACGTATTTTAATCAAACTCTCTGGGAGAAAAACACATGTAGARCTGATCAAGTCGGAATTTCAAGATGGCTGCCTCAGCTAACCAACACTGGCAACAGGTCTGTTGCTGCATGACCCGTTCTCCTATGTTTGTCATGTGTGTCTTCTTGAATGGGTAGTCTGAACTATAATTTCATTGTGCTCTGTACAATGACAATAAAGTCATCATCATCATAAAACAGCTGTAACTCAGCCACCTCTGCTGATATTGAGCTAAAATCTGTTGTGGAAATAGTTGAGTCGTTCCTGTGTAACATCTAGAGAGGTTGCAGCATCAGAAACTAAAGTAAGAACCTTCAGGCAACTCGAGAATCTGYCGGAATAGAACTAGCATTTCCTGTGAAAATGCAGTGAATACTGTACTTAATGCTTTTGCTGAAAAGCTAAAAATGGTTAAACTTGCCTAAAACAGTAGCCTGGCGAGTTTTGAACGACGTTGATATTCTGCGCACTGTCTGCTAGTTAGTTTATCAGTGGCAGTGGAGGAAGTGAATGAAGCCAGTCAGTGTCGATAAGACTTCCAAATTAAGAGAAATTTATCTGACAAAGCAGCAGCTCTCATTTACTGCCGTCTTGTTCGGCTTAGAGCGCGGGCATTTTCCGGTTAGCCTCTTAGCTTAGCCTCCTTCACAGTGAAGCTGCATGGTTCGTGGCCAACCGTTAGCGATTGGGTAAATCAGATCCAATCGTTTTAAACTTCAGAGGCCACGCCTCCAGGAAGCAATCTCTTCTGAGAGTCTGGACCCTCTGTATGAAGCAAAGAGAAGAACGAGGGGCTGGTTCTTACCAGGCTACTAAAATAGCTTAAGTAGCTGAAGTGGAATTTGTGCAAAGAAACACAAAGAGCACGTTTGCTGAATTAAGCAGTAAGAAGCTGAAATTGTCATAAAATGCTGATTTTATCTGGGGAAAAAAAATCCAAATTAGCTAAAAAGTAGCTGAAAACTCAGAAGACAGCTAAAATTAGCATAAAAAACAGCTGTAAGAAACATAAAAAGGATTTAGAAAGCCGAAAGAAGCACAAAAAGTTGAATTCAGCAGAAAAATAGAAAAGCTCAGGATGATAGCTTAAAGCAAAAGCAGTAAAAAGCTAAAATCATTTTTTTGCCACTTCAGTTGAAAGCAGAACTGAATATCTGAATATTAGTATCTTAGCTTCTTCATCATCAGTGGCTTTTTTTTCCACTAACATCCTTTAAATAAAAAAAGGGGAAAAAAGCTAAAATCATTTTTTTGCCACTTCAGT